CCTTCATTTTTGTGCACCTTTTTCTGTTGTTATGTCCCCTCCCTCCTTTCTTTTTCCTTCCCTCCTCGCGTGAGTGATGTGGTAACGATGATGCGATCGCTTGAAGACATTTTTTTATCCGTGTGTGAGAGCGGCTGTAGATGTCTGAGCTATCATCAACTTTGATTGGCTTTGAGTGGCTCTGAGTGCTGGGTCCATCCCAACCGCTTCCCGGGGTCCTTAGGAGCAGTTTGTGTGCATGTTGCCCTGCTCTATTTCTTTGCGTGTGTCTCAGGATTTCTGCGTGCAGATATAGTTTGACCATATTAAGTCCCTACAAAACCATACGAGGGCATCAGGAACGCTGAGTGGTTTTAGAGAGTGCAATTCATCTAAATGATGCAGGTTGAAACTGTGTCACGGGGCAGTTGCCCTGCTGAAGTGTCCTTGAGGAAGACACCGAGAACCTTGTATCAAAAAAAGTCAATTTCACAAAGTATCACTGAGGTTTTGTAATTCCAAATAATTCATATTTGTGCATATCAACAGTTAAAAGGAGTACATTGACTAACAAGACATTCTTTCTCTGTACGTAACAAACAAATGTAACCAATAAACAAGTCAATAATAAATAAAAATGGCCACCCATTTCCTCTAGGCTTGAGAGGAAGTATCATCAACCCAATTACCCAGCTCCTCCCGCCCTTCTCCATACATACCAAAGACAGCACTGGAGGGAACAGAAAGGCGGCCTGTTAATGTTTAACCAGGCTATGTAAAGACAGAGTCAGATAGTTGAGCCTATGAGCAAATAGACTGTGTGTGTGTGTGTGTGTGTGTGGGGGGGGGGGGGGACACAACAATCAGTTCAATGGCTGACATGTACGGAAATACTGCAGTTCTGAAGAGGCACAGACGTATTGCAAAAAGACATGCAACTATAATCTGACTCAATGTATTGAAGTATTTAACGTGTAGATGTCACCATGTTTGTAGTCATTCTGAAGTATCAGTTCCTGTATACCATCAACAATACAACCACACATGTAGGAAGGCTTTTTCTCAACTGATCACAAAACTGAAACGAAATCTGAACTTGGTGATTAATTGAGCGTCTAGGTGTTAATGTTGATAAGACAGGACGTCATGGGGTCATAAAACCTTTATCAACAGGAGGAATACAATGTCGAATGTGTATTTAAAAAAGTGCATTTGTCAATTGGAGTTCCTGCAGGAGGCCAAATATAGCTACAGATATGACGATCACGCTGCGCCCCGTGTGTGTGTGTGTGTGTTCATGCGTGGGTGTGTGTGTGTGTGTGTGTGAGAGAATGAGAGAGAGTGTGGCGCATCCATATATGCATACATGGATGTCTGCATGTGTGTTAAAAAGAGAAAGAGCACTATTTTTGGCCAAGTTGGCATTACTTGCACCATGTGTGTTGGTGTGTGTGTTGGTGTTTTGTATAGAAACTGCTGTGTGCAGTAGAACGGGGGATTTGGTGCCATCAGCACAGTGATGTCAGCACACAGAGACAAACAAAGCCAGAATCCAAACCCTCTCCCAACTACCCACAATCCCCCTGGGCACTGTGGGGGGCCCTGCCTGTGGGCCCGCTGCCATTAACACACACACACACTAACACAAGCTCACACACACACATAGTTGCACAGAAATGAACACACATGCAGTTGCGTTCATACATGCGTATGAGTGCGCATGTAGTATAGGCGGCATTACCTCAAGCACACTTATGTAATCATGTGCTCAATTACTCATACATGTCAACATACATACTGTATATAACAGTATCAGTACACTCATACACACATGTAGAAACACGTATATCTGGTCATCTTCAATCTGTCTTCATGTTCATTTACACCGGACTGAATCTGGGTTATTTGGTTTATTCATATTGTTCCATTCTGTAATTTTAAGAACTGTTAAGTCAAGTGCTTTTTTAGGAAAGATAAACCAACTAAAAAGTACTTTTAGGGAACTAAAACCAACTGTTAAGCAAAGTACCTTTGTTTAGGAAAGTAAAATCGACTTTAAAAGTACTTTTTGGACACCACTAATTCCAACTGTAAAGTACATTTGAATTTAACTTAAGAAAACGTAAGCCAAATGTAAAGTGTAGTCACTTTTTGTAAAGTAAAACCTACTCTAAAAGTATATTTTGGCATGTAATATCAACTACAAAGTACCTTAAGAGGGAAGCAAATCCAACTACTAAATACTTCAAAACCAAGTGTTGGATACTGTTTTAGAAAAGTAAAACGGACACGAACTTAAGCGTCATTAAGACATCAGGTCAGTTCCTAAAATACAGCCGCTGGTCCGACACTGCGCTGCGTCCGTGTATTAACTCTGTAACAGCAGTGAGTGAGCAGTCAAATCAGAAACACACCTCTGTTTGCTTTGGGCTGGCCCTCTGCCACTCTGCCTCTGCCTCAGCCGCACGGCTTGCAAATGGGGAATGACATTACTGTTATTGTGTTATTGTGGTGGAGTTCATATGAATACACTGTGACTGCATCGAGGCAGACGTTAATATAGATATGATAACGTGTTTAGATAACATAGCTGTTTGATGGAAATGCTTATCTTAAGGGCCCTGGCAGTCCGGCCGAACTGATATGGCGGACTACTTAGAGATGCTGAAAACTACAGTTTCAAAGTATCGGCAGCTTCAATGCAGAAATATCAGTATTTGAGTTGTTTACACCAGCCGCCCTGTTTCTATTACCGTTCTCCCCCCACTGCCACTACTGTTAGTTTCAGGTAGCTTTGTAACCGTACCCTATACATTTTCTACTTGAGTGGCTTGGCAGTAATAGTACCTTTCTGTACCCATTAAGCTACATGGGAATACAACAGCTAACCCTCACACACTATTTATGCAGTACATCGATACTTTGTCATACCTATGCGTTACACACCATTTCAAACACATTTTTGTTATGTTTGACCACAAACTATACAACAAAACCAACTAAGTCTCCAGAGCAATATGTTCACTCTAAAAACTCACTTAATTATCATCCAAAAAGTGAGACTGTGTCTTACCTTTATGTGAGAGACTAACATTTCATTTGTTAAATTACTATATTATTATCACAATATCTATCTATATCTTTACCAACAGTTTACCAAGTTGTAATGATAACAATACTGTTGTTGCAGTGCACACATATTATAAGTGTCATTTATGTCAGGTTTTCATCCAAATGTAGTGCAAATTTGAACAGAATCTTTGAATATCAGCAAAACAAATTGCAAATGAATGAATGCCTGTATACATCTTGTACTGGTATGTGACTAATAGGAGTTGGGTGCTGGTGGTGCTAATGCTGCAGTCAGGTGCCATTATCCATTGCAGAAGAAGAGACGTTATATAAAAGAGTACCAGTCAAAGTTCAAAATGTGTGGAAAACATGCTGGAACTATAGCCTGTGTTAGTTTCATGTATTACTTTGAGGAACGTTAAAGATCTGAGGTTTTGGTCTGCTGATATTTGTAGTTTAGTTGTTGTAAAGAATGCTTGAGGGACAAATAATTCACCTGCTTCATGTTCGTCATCTTTTTATTGCACTTTGTCACTTTTTGTTTTCATTGAAACATTTCTTTTTTTTCCGCCTCAGATCATTTTTCAAATTTCCGTCATTCCCACTTCCTTTTCTTTTTTTATTTTTTATACTCAAATGAAAATGCGCTTAAAAAACAGGTGGATGGAAATACACTTGTTGAGAATTCATACACTTCCTTCACTGAATGCAGCATTTAAGGTTTCGCAGAGTCATCCAATATCAAGGTTTTGTCTCTGATCAGTGAGAGTGCAACGTTAAACATGTTTTAATACCATACAATAGGTTTCTTAATCATTATTATTATTCTAACAGAGCAAATGATTACAAATTATCAGCAGTTAAATAGTAAAATGATGATCTGTCTGATTTACAGGGAAAACAACTTGAAAACTGTTATTTTTATAACTTTAGTGACTTTTGGGTTGTTTAGTTATTAAAACTTGGCACTCCTATATTGTCTAATGAAGTTTCTGTAAAGTGCGTCATGTCAGATCGCACCATGTCAGCTGGATGGTGTGACTCACTGAAGGAACTGTAAGGCTTTCTGTTTTAATGCTGCTATCTCCTCGTCGAACGACAATTAGCAACTGTTGCTGTTTGTCTCTGCTATTTAAATGCCCTTCTGTCCAAAACAGTAGGAGACAGACTGGGGCTGGTAGTGTGTATGTGGCTGTTTGTGTGTATGTGTGTGTTTGTGTCGCTTTTTTGGTCAGTGGGATTGGGGTAACTGGGCATACTGGCCCCAAACAGGTCCTCATTGTGCTGCAGGAGGAAGAGCCGGGTGTGCTGCACCCTATTCAGCCAAGTTTGGAGTGTGTGTGTGTGTGTGTGTGTGTGTGTGTGTGTATGTGTGTATGAGTGTGTGTGTGTGCACATTTTCGACCCATATAATGAGCGAATTCTTCATATTCAAATGCCTGCTAGTAGGTTGGCTGCTCCATTAGTTTTAGCCAAAGCTTGACATCAGTTTCACAACAAAGAGTCAGCTTTAACTTTCTGCAACTAAACTTTGCTGAGTTACTAGGCTAGATGGTACTTGTTGCCTGGTAACACAACTTTGTATCAGCAAGCAGTGCAAGGATTCACTCTGCAGCTTTTCACCAAGGTTGAGTGAAATCTTTACCCACATCCATTTTACTAAATAAGTCCGTACAGTGTTGATCACCTGTCAAACTAGTCTGAGCATTTATAGGTGTCAATCTTTCCATTTCCATTTCTGTTTATGTTTCTGCGCTGATCTTCACCTGAATACCGCATACAAAGCAGAAAATGTATAGCGCCAAATTCCCTTTATGCTTAAGGATTTCCTTAGTGGTAACTGGCAACACTCTGCCTTTAAGAACCAGCAACAGATCGACTACACGGTACAAAAAGGTCCCTGATCATCAATTCTAATTATTTTTTTTCATTTTGTTTTGTTTCTCCAGTGGCTTCACAGGAAAGTGAAGACACAAACAAGAATCCAGGACAAAGCATGAACCGGATGGCAAATGAGAACTGGTAGGTTTAGGGAAAGCACTCTCACACACACACACGCGCACACACACACACACACACACAGTGAGTCCCATAGAGACAGCAATGCCCTGGAGGGTGCCAGTCATGCCCAGCTTCCGCTGCGCTCCAAATTGAGCGTGGCACAGAGTGTATGAAGTCAGCCGTCTGGAAGAGAGCCAAGCATTGTTCCTCTGAGCAGCTGGATGGTAATTACTAGAAAGGGAGAGGGGAGCCCTGCCACCTCACTACTGTTGCTTCTGCTCCAACTCCCGTATCATAATGGAATATACTGTACGTACGTAGTAAAGCAGAGCTGGGAGTCCTGTGAATCTAGAGACAACAGAAGACAATCTCTTTACATGTACACAAGGATCGGTGGTGAAGTCGTGCATCATAAGGACATGAAACTATGGCTAGTCAATAATTGTCATATATGACATTGAGGGTTTTTCACAAGTCAAACCCATGCGAAGGGCATAAACATAAGAAATAACGAATATTGTTGAAGGAGATGGAAAACAAAGCCCAAGGCGAGCTTATTTATTACCTCAATCCGTACCTGATTTATGATATAAAGCAATACTTAGAGAGCTTCACACTAAGTTACAGTACATTTAGGGTTAACATACTTACAGCAAGTGAATCCTCTGATTTTTCTCTACGTAATTACCTCAGTGTTTTCAGCAACTTTGAGCATTGGGGCTGCCTGATTAAAACAAAAGAGAGAGACATTAAGTGGAACATATGATGCCGGAGGAAGATAGAAGAAGAATGAGGGAGAGAGAGAGAGAGGAGAGAGCCTTGCAGCCATCCAGGCTTGAGGAATGTGTCAACTTGCTGTCAACTATGTGCTGCTTTGTCATGAAACCGCGGAGTACTGGAAACACGTAAAGTTGCCTTTTTCACACCTTCGACTCCTTCCTCCCTCCCTCCCCCTCCCCCCTCCTCCCCATCACACTCACACAGTGGCAGCAGTAGCCAGGCCAGTGCTAGTGCAGCTGTGACCAGAACAATAGCATTCCTCAGGTTTTAAACGCCTGGCACTTAGATTCCTAACAGTCAAATTCCTGGTGGGGAGAAGCTGGGGGTTGCTATAGGACGCCGAGAGCCGTGAGACGCCTTGGAAGGAGACGTACAGCTGTAAAGCACTGTGTGACTTGTGTTTTTTATGAGAAGGATGGATGGATTCATGGGGACGGGAGGGGAAGCTCTCTTGTTCCGCCTCACGGCCTCCTTTCCTCAGATGTGACATTTCTAACACTCCAATTTTAGCAGTTTAGGCCGAGAGGCGTCCTGCTGCTTTGTCGGGGCATCATGTGTCGATAGGGGCACCTGTTAAGTCAACATGTGTGTCTTGTAATGCGTTTTTGGCACATGTGGTGCCGAAAATGACACCGATGTGTTGAAAGTGACACATTAGCTTTAAGAGTGTTAAATTAGGTGTTAGCAAAGGAAATAAACAAGGACATGTTGTACGACAGTCAGGTAGATACCACTTTGCATATTCTCCCTTCTTTACGTAAGATCCAGGAATTGAGTTGTATTTCAGATTTAATTTGCTCTTCTGTTTTTATTTATTCAAACAGTGCTTGTGCTGCTAAAATGACCTTACCTTTTCCACCAGAATGCTTTTATTTTGAAGTCCCGTGGATAGGTGGTTTTGAATGTTAGTCAGAGAAAATGCTGTGCTTCTCACATCATGTGTGCCTCCTCTGGTGGCTTCACTTCACACAGCACTGAGCTGCCCAACTATCAGCCCATCTGAAATAACCCCAAAAATAATGATTCTCTCATTAACCACGCCTGTTTCACAATTTAAATATAAATGAATCTAATTTAGAGAACCTCGGCCACGATGAAGGAGACTCATTTAGAGCCAATCTAAAATTAATGAGGGCATCTGGAGAGAGAGTGGAGAGGGGCCTGCGTGGCTTAACAGATACTGGAGTTAACAAGCTACTGTACTTTAAACACTGGAAAATCCCCATTAATTTTAAAGTTAACACACTACTGTACTCTGAATGTTGGCAAAGGAGCTTTAATGTTAGTTCAAACACATTACAGCGACATCTTCAGACTGACTCTTGGCCTCTAGCTGTCAAACCTTCATTATGTTGGCGTAAGCTCACATTTATCAGACTCTCCTGGGCATACACAATTAGAATTTTCTTGACATTTTTTTTTATATAACAGCACATGAATATGTTTTTGCATGTGTGCAAGATTCAACCCTGAGACCATAATGCTGTCAGATTTACCATCACAGTTAAAAAGCATAGAATTACAAACGGCAACATTGGAAGATGTAGAAGTTTCCCATGTTGGATCATGCTTCAGTAAATCTTCCAAATATTTTGTCTTGCGATAAATTGGCTTATTGCCTTTTACATATGGCTGGAAAAGTGACACAAATCATCCAATGAGGTACACATTCCCTAATTTTCAGGCTTCCCAATGCTCTATTTTGTTAGAAAAAATATAAATTCTGTCTCCCACCTTATTGTTTACACTGCAGGTTTGCATATAAATCAGCTTACTTTGCTCTCTTTAACACACTTTCACCAACATGAAGCTTGCAACGTCCGGTCTCTCAGCAGCCATTCGAGTGGCAGCAGCAGATGCCAGCCAGCTCCCACAGTGACTGTTTGGTTTTGCAGGTTTAATTCCCGATGGGTTTGGGTCCAGAGTGATTAGGCTGAGCCCTAAAGGCCAGCGGGCTTGTCAGGTGTCCCCACACATTAATGTTGTTCTGCTCACACCCTGAGCCGACAGCACAGCGAAGCGGAGGGGGGAAGAGAAACACTGATCTGGCCTGGTGGGAGGCACAGAGAATTGTATAGTTCATATATTTAATTAGGCTTAAAAAATAAGTTTTCTTTGAATTTGTATTAAGTTTAAGGGGACTTGAAATACGTCCTTCAAATTCAGTAGGTTATCAGCAATGTCTAAAAGATTAAATTACTTTTGACAGTGTTGTTTCTTGTTTCTTTTGTCTTGGAGGAAAGAAACCATCACATCTGGTGACACATTTTGAATTAAGAACTGTATTTTCATTATGTTGCCTCCATAATTTAAAGTACAACCGGACATTAAAGTTGGGACGTACTTTGATGAAAGTTGTGCAAAAGTTAGAAACCACAATGTTCAAAAAAAGTATATTCTTCTAAATGAATAAAAAGTTTAGGATTATTCTCAGGATTTTTCTTTGGAAGAAAACTATATTTTAAGGTCTTACATTTAAAAAAACTATATTAAATAAAATATCTGTTGGTGTTATTAGTTTGAGTTATTATTAACCAATAAAACTAAACTATCTTCCCAGAAGTAAAATACAAAGGCTTTTAGAAAAAAATTCAAGAACAAAGAAAGCATTTTAAGTGGAAGTTTGGATATGCACACTTTTTTTCTGTCTCATGACTTTTAGTCCCTGATCTTTTCTGCCAGTAAAAGCAACACAGTGATGGCTGCTACCTCAACATTTCCTTTAGCCTTTAACCCTAAAACCAGCTGAGTGACAACACAGCCGACTTTTCCCTGCTGGATTCAAATAAACTTGCATTGTGTCTGTGCACAAACAACTTCCTGCATGCAGACATGCAGCTTGTTAACGGGGGTGGGCGACCCCCCCCTACCCCCCTAAAAAAAAGAAAACTCTTCCTGCTTCTGACCTCCAACCCCATCCTACCCCACCCTCACCCACCGCTTGCACAGCATGGTGCAGCTATAGGGGGGAAGGAGGTGGTGGAGAGATGGCATTAGGCTTTGGTGTGTGTGTGTGTGTGTGTGTGTGTGTGTGTCTGTGTGTGTGTGTGTGTGTGTGTGTGTGTGTGTGTGTGTGTGTGTCGGCAAAGGAGGTGATGGTAGGTTTTTGAGTAGGGGGGGAACTTATGTCCTGGTCCTGTCTGGTCTGAGGGAGTTGAGGAATAAAGTGGTGGTAGAGGGAGGAGGGGAGATGAGGAGACCTGCTGTGAGGGCAGCCTATATACACTCCTCCTCCTTCCTGCTATACCTCTCCCTCCATCCCTCGCCTCTTTTCACCCTCCTCCCCCTCTGTCTCCATCCGTGGGGGTAAAGTACATTACATGCTTGCTAATCAAACCTCCATTACAAGTTTGGAGGGAAAGAAGCAAGAGACTCGAGGCTTCTTTTTTTTCCCCCTCAGTCTCCTTCACCTTCCTTCACCTTCGCCAAAAACTCTCTTGACTCTTGAACAAACATGAGAAAGTGTTAGTCCAACCACAACGTACTGGAGATATACTAGTGGCGTGATTGCATGTAAAGGCAGAATCATTAAAATATATATATATATATATATCATTCATATTATGGATAATTACAAACATAAAAGAGGCCATATGTAGCAGCACTTTGATCACAACTAATATAACACACTGAAGACAAAATGTATGTTAAAAAATGGATTTACTGCCTTAGTTGTTACAGAAGCCTTTACTGTGGTCCCCACAATGTTACTTTGCAGCAACAAGTCTGACACTTGTATGAGTTGTCATAGAAGTTTGAAAAACTTTCGTGGAAGTTATGGTTGCTGGTCACAACTAAAATGTGCGAAATTGGCCCTCAGTCATAGTCATCAAGTAATAATTCCAAGTAGGAAACTATATTTCATTTTGATGTTTTTTCCCCAGGATTTCCAACACATGCTTTCATTTCAAACATCTAAATGCTACTTTAAATGTTTAGAACCCAACATGGCTAAAAGCCATTAAGGCCACAGTGGCAGCCTGACACCAAAGTGTTGGCCTTCCCAGTGGTGCGGTTAAAAAACAGGTAATTCTTCTGAAAGTTGACACTGTAGAAAAGACAACAACAAGTTCATTCAAATCCAAACAATTTATGAGCTCGGGCACCACAAGAGAAGAAAAATACCTGCACTTTATTTTTGATTTGAGATCTAAATGTCCATACGAAATAGAAATTTAGAATTGGGTTACAAGGAATTGGCAGATATTTTTCTTTTTGGTGTGCATGTTCCCCAGAACCAGCAAAGAATTCATGATATACTGTATGTGCCTACCCCTTAGACACAAAGTAAATTCATGATAACTCGCAAATTTGGATATGAGATGCACTATAATGTGGGTGTCGCAAGTGGAAAGCTTGTGCGGTTTCAACACATTCTCACTCCCAACTCGTCAAATACAGACGATTGGTCAGTGGCCCCAAGCCTCAAACTATGATGCTCTAGGTAACTCTTTAGCAGTAGTTTTGGATCTGTCAGGGACGGCGTGTCAGTTTACACTGACACTTACATGCGTTGTGTATTTTCAAATTAAACTTCCTTCTTCACAGGACGTTAGGTTTAGGCAACAAAACCACGAAGTTAGGTTTCTGAAAAGATTGTGGTTGATGTTAACTGTACTGACTAATGACTTACGTAACTAACGAGTCACGTAATTGACAAGACAAAATAAGTCGAAGTTTACTTTTTGTTTTCGCACAGGACACGAACAGCGGTCTCCTTGGTGAAAGTTCTTTGTTTGATTGACCCATCCACCAGTCACGTGCAGACACTAAAGGGTGCCTCTGACTGTCGGTATCAGACTCCAAGAGGCATAGGCGTCGGTATTTGATGTGTTTGAATTGAGACCGGTTCGGGGGGAGTTACTAGCTGTTGCATCTCTACCTTTTGCAGACGATGTAGTTCTGTTGGCTTCATGGCGTGTGAAAAATTTGGTATGAGAGGCACAGCGCCTTCAAGTCCGAGGCAACGGCTGGAAAGATGGTGGGTTCCTTCCTTCAGCATCGGGAGTGAGTTGCGAGCAAGTGGAGGCGTTCAAGTATCTCTTGGTTTCGTTTTTCACCAAGGAAGAGATGGAGCTTGAGATTGACAGGTAACCTTACCTGTTGTGACCAAAAGTGTGAGATCACAGAATAAGTTTGATTGCAGAGTGTGTGGGCCGAACTCGGACATCAAGAAAGACCTCAGAGTAGATCCTTGTCAATCAATGGTTGTTAACCTCTGAAGCCTTATTTGGGCAGATGAGTGTTTGGAGCCTTGCTTAAGTGAATCTCTTAAAACAGGAAAGTGATGCACTTCCTCCACTTGCGTTGTCTTAATGTCCTTACTGGTGTAGCAATTTGACCAGGAAGTCCAAATAAAAAGAAAGAAGAATTGCCTGTGATGGGACAGTAGATGGAAAGAAAAAGTTAGGAAATCTCTCTTCTCAATTCGTCACTATGCTCTCTCTCTCTCCCTCCAGCTGGAAACGGTAATAAACATAAGTAACAACCTCTTTATGTGCTGTAACACAAATATGGGTCAGTAAATTGACAAACCTGTGTGATAACTGAGGTAAGAGAGGTGGAGGAAGAGAGGGAGGGGAGACCCACAGAGAGAGAAAGAGATGTTCTCGGTCCCACACTGAAATTTGAGATAGGAGTGTAGCTCTTGACTGAAGAGAGAAAGAGAGAGAGAGAGGGTGTGTATGTGTGTGTGTGTGTGTGTGTGTGTGTGTGTGTGTGTGTGTGTGTTTAGATGAGCGATGAACAGACAACGCTTGTCCTCAAGTCAAAGAGCTCCAGTGGCTAAAACCCCATCGGGCACCAAGACAAACACACACACACACACACACACACACACACACACACACACACACGGACAGGTGATACATCATGGATGTGAGAAGGAGGAGGGGAAACTGGGCAGAGAGAGAGTGAAAAGAAGGGATGGACAGATGAGAAGGAGGTGAAGTGGAGGAGGAGGAGGAGTGGTAAGGGGAACAGGAGGGTGAGGGGGCACCCAGCTGGTGACAGAGGGGAGCAATAAAGAGCAACGGACAGTTCACTCAGTCCAGCATATGCATGTGTTTGAGTAACGGTGAAACTGATTACACTTTCAGAGGTTTCTTTTCACTTTCCATTATTGAATTGAGCTCTCGTTACTGTTGAATCACCTGACAAACAAACAGTGTGTCGTGTACTGGGATGTGGTTTCCTGAAGACCTTCTGTTGGTACTGAGCTTAGTATATATCAAGGTGAAAACATTCTTAACACAACTACTTTCCAAGATGGAAAATTTGTGTTGTAGCCTGGTCGAACACAAAACACACGCAGACTTGAATATTAATAAACATAATAAAAAAACATGTAAAACATGAGCTAAAACCTCCACACAAGCTCACAATGAACTTCATTGACAGCATAATATCGTCATACACCAATTATATGGGAGACTTCTCATCATCATTTGACTCATCCAGTTAGAGCTTGACGGCATGAGAAACAAAAGAGTTTGTCAACCTGTTAGACCCGGTCTTTCTCTGTCCCGATGGGAGAAGCTCAATCTTTAGTACTTATTTAGAATTCTTTCAGATTACCTGATTGGTTTGCTGCAATTAAAAATGAATATACTCTCGAGATACTAGCCTGTCATCATCTTGCTCTAATCTGTTATTACTAATTACTGATATTAATAGACAACATTTTGGTGATTGTTAGGTCAACCGTTTAAAAAAATAGAGCTCGAAGGTTCAGTTTTGACCTTGGAAATAGCAGTTTCACAAATGTCACATTCAATGGCCGCAGGGATCTAAGAAGTAAAAAACATCTATCCAGGTGGATCTAATTTTAAAAGCAAAATCTGCAAAATCAAAAAGTTTATGAGTACTTATGAGAATGTTAATACCCAGCAAATCCTGCCAGGAAATTGAAATAAGGTACAGGAGTCCACCAAAGTCTTACTAAATGCTGTTTACAATACTTTTTGAGTATCAATTCACATGTGAAGTATTTCAATGGAAATCAAAATGATACTAAAAATAGTTTGAGCAAATAGGATTTGGAGACGTTTTTTTATTGAACAAGGCTGCTCGATTTAGGCTAAAACAACTGTACTTTTATTTAAAAACCATGGCCAGTAAGGCTTTATGTCTTGGGGTGGCGAGATGAGACAGGGGGGAGGAAGGGACTGATGGACAGCTAGAGGGAGGGAGAGAGAGAAGGGGGACTGGAGGGATGGAGGGAGGTGTATACTGCAGCAGAAACTTCCCATGCTGGCCTCCCAGTGTGGCTACGTAATGAGGGCAAGGGACACAGACACACACACATACACACACTCGCAGACACACACTCGGGGCTGAGCATGGCCCCACGGCTGATTAGCGGCACACAAAGGCCCCAAACAGAAGTAGCAGAGGACACACAATGGGAGCAGGGCCTCAAGGCGTGGTTTACTTCTGCCCTGAGGGAGGGGGCGAGAGAGGCAGAGAGACATCGAGAGACTGGCAGAGAGAGAGAGAGAGAGAGAGAGAGGGTCCCACTGAGCTGGACGGGCAACCGAATGGGGGGGAGGGGAGAGGGTTCGGTGGGGTTAGAAAAGTGACAGAAGCAGAGAGGAGTTTTTGTTTTTGTCCTGATGAAGACGTGTAGGGTTTCTACTGAGTGCTATTGCAGTGACTGCAGCATCAGGAAACCACCTGCTCTGAAGCACAGGTGGACAAAGTTAAAACATATATTTATTTATTTATACCAATGGAGGGAAGATGCCAGATGATGGATGCAGTTTATTTGCAGAAACATTTTTGTATGATACATGCTTCAACCTTTTTCTTATTATGTCTACAGTGTAAGAAATACTTCAGCATGTCGCTCCCAGCCATTATTACATTACTTCACCAGAACCCCCCCTACTTAAAAAAACATTCAAAGAAGCAGAAGACATGAGTGTCACATGGTGTGGAGACAGAAATTAAATTCATGGAAATAACATGACATGCCAGAGGCAGCAATGCAACGCCACAATTTACCGCGGTTACTGGTGCTTCTTTTAATTATGTAATCTTGTTTTGCATACTCATCCCCTTAAAATTGGCAGAACATTTGGGTGAAAACATACTCTATGATTCACATTGTATCAGTGTATTCATTGAAGCACTGACCCAATCTAATGTGAAAGGGCATAGAATGGGATATACAGTGACATTAGAATCCTTTTTATTCCACAATCACTCCTTTTTGCTTGAAACTGAATAAAATATAAATGAATTACAGAGAAAAGAATGTTCTAGAATATGAAGATAGCTTGACAACCTTTTAAGACCCAGTGTATACGAACCATTACTCTGTTATTCCTGCCTCTTGGTGCATATATCATATTGATTTAGCAATGATCTCCACATAACATAATTTAAGTCATGCAATGATATTGAAATGGCATTGTCTTTTAAAGATATTTATTTTTTATTTTTAAGGTGATATAAATCAACTATGATGATGTATTAAAATGGATTCAGCGACCAAGCAGTATATGAAAGCATTACAATTAGCTCCACCTTTACCAGCTGCAACACTAAAGTGATGTACACATTAATGCATCAGTAATTTAATCCAATAATTATATAAATATAATTCTGAAAAAGGTCATAGTTTAATCAAAAGAGGGATTTTACTTTTGGTAGTTTTATGGGTTTTTTTGTGCTTTTACTTAAGTAAGATTTTGAGTGCAGGACTTCTACTTGTAACAGAGAGCTTCTACACCGTGACATTGCTTTTAAAAGACCAGAGTTCTTCTGTCACCACTGACCCTGGGACAGGACAAGCTATGATTTGAACTTCATCTGCAGCCCTTTTCACACATGAATCCTTCATCATTGCTGTGATTGTGCCATGGTTTAGTGGAGGTGCTTTAAAATGTTGGAAAAAAAGAAATATTCAGTATCAAAGAATAGACGCTATGAGTGATAAATGCACTTTCAAACAGGAAAGTAAAGATATGATGAACATAGGCAGGAGAGCAGCCCAAGACCAGTCATTTCTCAAATGATGATTGTTGAGTTATTGCTACCACAGAACATGTTGAGAGCTTTACAGTCATCTCAACGGCTCTGTGCACAGATTACTATCTACACTTTTCTACAGAGAATGAATATTATATGGCAACGACTAATGAACACGGCCTTCTTTTCACAGAGGAGCAGCAGCTGCTGTAATCTCCACTGTTCAATTAGCTGCACTGACCGGGACGCCACCTACACTTCATTAACAGGGAGGCGAAGGTATGGAATTAACCTCTCTCTTTCTCTGTGTGTCTGTTTCTTTCCTCCCCCAAATCTTACCGCTTCTTCTTTCCTGAAGAAATAGCTTCGTGGCAGAAAAATTAAACTATTCCAAATTAGTTTCTCTGTATCAGGTAAAACCTGATTTCCTTAGTTTTTACCTTTGATGGACGTTTTAATGGACGCTTCTGAAATATTGAGGAAGAGCAACGGAGGAAAAGAGAGAAAAATTCGGGGGATGGGGGTATAAATCCACGAAGACAATTTAGCTTTTCCAACCTCTTTTCCTGTTTTTCTAATTACTTAATGCTATTTAAATACACCAGAGCTGCCACACACACACACACACACACACACACACACACACACACACACACACGTTAATGGTCCTCAGCAATGGAGAGGCTTCTGAAATAAGTCACGCAGTAATTGTATTTGATTAATCATAAAGGGAGCACATCAGAGGAAAGCTAGCTGTAATAAAATGATAAAATAGACAATTATGAAAAAAAATCCTCTGCCTTTAATTTCCTAAACACGCTCTGGAGAGAGGCCGTGTCAAGCCGGGGCAATTGGACGAGATGCTCAACATGTTATTTACCACCTCTTTGACACTTTGAATCACACCGCAGGCCTCTGAGATGGTTGTAAACACTAGCAGAACAACACAGATCCCCACACGCTGCTGGTTCACATCTCCTTATTCAGTTTCATATATTTGTCCAGCGGTGACCTTCTACTCCTTCGCTGCAACAGAAACGATGTGCTTTAATTTCATGTCAATTCCTTTCTAACTTGCAGAAGAAGACTCATCCCCCTGACATATTCAATTATTTTGACCAACGCTCTTCAACACTTTAGATAGTTATAGTATTGATATGTTTAGTCGAACTCTGCCACAAAGTTAATACAGTTTGATATACTGGGGAATAAATATATGTCTTTAAGTAACTTCTGAGTCACAGTCCCTTTCCAGGAGGTGTTCATACTATTTTGTCCAGCCCCTGTATAATAACCTCCATCTACTTGTAAAGTGATTTGGTTCATTTGGTAACTTATACAGTTATATATAAATAATATTATGAAGGAAACTGCCAAATGATAATACAGACTGGGCATTTTAAAATACAATATAATACATTCTATTTCTTATATAGACAAATGTTGGCAGTCATGTCAGGTATAACAATGATACAAATGTCATAAAGCAAGCTCATAGGGAAAAAACACGTTTGTCACAAGATCACATTAGCTCTTTGAGGCACCGATGTCTTTTTTCACGGTTGTTTTAAAATCACTTTCCTCACTGACTCTTCTGGCGGAGGCAGCCATGACGGAGTGAGATCTGCACCACAAAGAGCAAAAAAAAAAAAATCTGATCTCCTGGTTCCTGGTGTAAATGCATCCAGGCTCTGTGTGTGTGTGTGTGTGTGTGTGTGTGTGTGTGTGTGTGTGTGTGTGGTGTAGGTGCTACTGTGTAAAATAACATGGAAAAGGTGATTTTCCACTATAGTGAGGCTTCCACACCGTGTTTCCCCCAGGCAGCAGCAGAGACATGATTGAATTTTGTGTGTGTGTGTGTGTGTGTGTGTGTGTGTGTGT